GGCACTTTCCCTAGACGGTACGCGGAAGCCAGGACAGATTTTAGCATTTTCTCCTCTTCTTGCTGGAAAGGCAACATAGTTAGAGAGGCAGAAACATCAGGTGATATCACAAATGACTTTGTATCGGCCACCGCACTGGCTTGTCACTTGTCGCCAGATACAGAGTTGTTTCCAGTTGTCTCCACTGCTATGGAGGGACTCGGTGACAGAGTAACCCTTTGTTTCAATCACGCCAGCGTGCATCGCTCAGGCTGGCTGATAAAACCAGGATGTTCTAGGTGGCAAGATGTAACGGGGGGGTCTAAATCCTGAGCAAAAAGATGGCTGTGTGTCAGCATTCACTCTGAATTCAGTTACCTCCCCAGCATCATTTCAGCAAACTCTACTTGGGATGTTCCTGCTGGATAAGGAGTGTGGGCTCGGTTCTGAGCAGCACCATATGAAACTGAGAGGTAGGGCAGGCAGATGTACAGCTCCACTGCTTTCGGGGTGGCTCTGGCTGTCAGGTGTCAGTGCTGTCCTGGGCAGATGGACCAGGAGCCCACCTTCCAGCTCATCCCTGTGGATGCAGCTCTGCCGCCCAACTGCATTGAAGTCTCTGAAACCTCCATCACAGTTTACACCATCTGTGTCCTTCAGGGTTTATCATAATGCAGCAGGGAGCTCACTCTCTGCAGAGTTAATAACAGTGGCTGTCTTCAAATAAAATAGAGAAAACAGTAATTTAACGTGCACCAGTTGATTAGCTCTTAAGTGTTTAACTCCTTCATAATTTCAAAGCACTGCATACACAGTAACCAGTTAATCCTAAAACAGCTCAGTCAGAATTGAGTTTTACACAAGATGAAACAAAAATATAACAGTGCATAGGGACTAATACTCCTAACAGGGCAGAGGATCACAGAATAAGCAGCAAGTGACTTCCACATTTATGCACCAGCCAAGACACTTCAGGCATCTTCTGTGGAGAAGAACAGTCGTAACAGGGGGGTGGGGGAATTCTCAGACCTACAAGTTCACGGGTAAAGTTTACAAAGTACAAATAAAAATCCACAGCCAAACACAACCATTTAGACACTTGAATGCAAACAATTAAAACTGTGATTTAAGATGAGTTGTTTAGAGTTACCAAGAGAACAAAGTTTACCCACATTTCTTACCAAAAGTTTGGTTTAACTTTACTCTGATGTCACGTGAAATAATCCAGCTCATGTCCTGTGACGTATTACAGAATAGGTCAGAGTATTTTATGTATTTGGGGGTGTATCTCTACAGTAAACCACAGTACAAGTGACTAAACCTGTTGATGTTTGCATAACCTCAAGGAATAAAGCACAGCAGTAGATTTGGATATAAGAATTGCTATTTGTCTGATTTTTGTTAAGTTTAGTCTTAACAGTCAGAGACTGGGAAAATATAAGTGAAATAAAATCAGATTTTAATTTTTTTTTTTACTTTTTGATCCCTGTGATCAAAAAGGAAACCTTGGGAGGAGTTCTCTGGTGACAACAGATGGCAGCAGAGATGTACTCAAGTATTTAATTTGCAAGGAGGAAGATTCTAGTACCTTTACTGTGGAGCCAGAAAAGTGCTGCCAAGGACTTAAATACAGTTCTCAAAACCACTATGCTGCTGGTACCAGCCTTGAAAACACTTCAGCTTCTTCACCAGCTCATTTTTCAGTATTAGCACATTCTGGTTTTAGAGCACTGCTCTTGCACATGCTCTGCAGAAGCAGTCTGCACTGGTAAGGCTGCAAAGCACCTAGCTTGCCTATACATCCTGTTAAGGACCCATAAATTATGCCTTCTTCCACAAGAGCTTTTCTTGAAGAGCCTGATCAGGTAGATGTTTCAGAGCATTCCTTCTGATATTTTTATTAATTCAGTTTCGAGGTATCAGAGAGTTCCTTATGTTTTTGTGTTGAGAGACAGGCTTCTAAAGTCAGGGCTGACAGTTTTGTACCACAAGGCAGATGTCCTGTGGACACGGAGGCATTGTTTTCATCCTCACACAAGAACAAACCAGCCAATCAATAAAGAAGGTCAGTAGCTGTGCAGTTCCATTTTTTAATTGTAAAACTGCAGTAGTTGTGAGCATTGCTTTGATGCTTCTCTGCATAATATTCTCTGTTTCTGTTGCTGTCCAGAAGTACTACAGATTCACAGCAGCCTGTAAATGCAAAGAGCATGAAATCAAACACATTTGCAGATATCATGGTAGGCAAACAGGGGAAAGAGAACTGGACTCCTCTGAAGAAGAAGTAAGTATTAATGAAAGGTTATTCCTTCCCTTGCCATGGGACAATTGTTACCCATCTGTGTCTGTGACCCTTGCACTAATGTACGTGGTTTAACATCACGGGTGTATGAACACCTGGACTGATCTGAGCCTTATGTCTGGGGGAAGGCAGAGTAACTTCTAGTGGCACTAGTCAGTGTCATATCAGTCTTTTTGTGGAGGGGAAAATGTCATGGACATAAACCATCCCCTCTCTCAGGGGCTGAATTTGCCTTTTGTGTTGTATCATTGGAAAACAGTTTATTTTTCTTTCCAGAGGACTGAAGCCTCTGTAGCATCTAGTCAAGATCGATCTTGCCAGCAGCGTGTAAGTTTATAGAATACTTTGTTTTTAGACTGAGGTATAGTGTTTATAATTTTGCATCAAGCTGGTAAAAAATTGTGATCAGGTGTGGAGACTTTTTGATGGCACAGAAGATTAACCAGTAGTGCATTCACAATCCTAATGTATGTGTTAGGTGGGCAGCAGAATGGGCATACAGAGACTTGCACAATTGAGTATCTACTTTATATTTTGGACTGGTACAGAATGTCAAAGACTGTGATTAATCTTTAGGCTCTCAGGAATTGCATCAGCAACAATAAGGCAGCAGTTCTAAGTTGTTCTCTCCAAACACATTCCCTGTGCTGAGGGAGGGCATGCAGCAAGGCATGCTTAGCCAGTTATGCTTGGCCCACAAACACTTCTATTCCTCATGGAGATTTAAGCTGCGCTTTTTTTAATTATTATTTTTCAAAGCTTAACACCCCCCACTGCATCAATCTTGGGAACTTATAAGCCACAAAAGATGAGAAACATGGAACCCATGCCACAATACAGATTGGTGGGAGCCCCCTTGTTGTATCGATGTTTTTCCAGGTTTATGTTCAAAACCCTTTAGTTTAGTAACTTTTGGTTTTGTGAGCCGGAGATTGCAGCATGTTGATTATTTCCATTGATGGAAACGTTAGATTAATACTTCTGAGTACGGCAGTTGCTAATTTTTGTATTGACAGAAACATTTTAGGTTTTGTCCATGCTGACTGTATATTTTGAAAAATCTTAGTACAGTTACATGGCAGCTAACAAGTAATTTTTTAACCCACATTTAATGTTTTTATTTTTGAGGAAAATCTAAGATGACAAAACAGTAATGAAACTTTTTCCCCCCACACTTAAGACCAGACAAGCTTCCAAAGACATCTACATTGAAGTTTCTCCTGGCATCTATTCTGTCACAGCAACCTCAGGGGACATGGTGCAACAAACCCACACGGTGGATGTCAGTGCAGGACAAAGTATTGATTTAACTTTTGTTCTGTGATGTTTGTCTCTTGGCAATCATGGGAATAAAATACAAGGCTGTTTTAATGCACATAATGAATTATGTATATTTTTTCCTTGTTAGCACTTTAATAGTATCCTCCCTCTTTGGGACTCCATTTTTATAACCTGTATATTCATTTTCTACTTAATGCAATTATATTCAGCCCACCTTGTACACAGATTTAAAAATATTTGTATATTGTGTGCCTTAAATCCAATTATGTGACCAATTCCAGGTTTTCATGTTTTAAACAAAGATACAATCAGTATAATAAAATACATAATTTAGTCTTTGTGATGTCAGCTTCTTTTATATTAGCCTCAAATAGAATGTCCATCTCATTCTTTACCACAGAGAGCACAAACCATGTGGTATGAACAGGGATGTACTTTAGCTTCTGTGGGCTGGCACTGACTTTATAGCAGCTGGCTCACAATGCATCTGATCTGTCCTATCTGTACTTTTACTATTCTGATAAATACATAAAATGCAAGTGAAATTCACTATCTAGGACCCCAGCTCAGGAAGGTGCTTGAATATGTGTCAAGATATTTAGTATAGGCAGATGAACTATTGACACTTCCAAGTCCTGCCTCTTTGCATGAGCTGCCTTTTTCAGTAGGTGCTAGAGGACCCTGAATTGTCTTCAGTTTCTTGCAGGGAAGAAGTACAGCTGAGCAACTGCACACTACAGCTTGTGGCCAAGTTCATGTGCTTTAAACATGAGTCCCTCTAACAAGACTCCCTGGGTGCTTAGCTCTCCCAAAGGATCCAATTCCATGGTTAGAATTAGTGACATGACCTATATATATTTGTAATCTTTTTGTAGCTGATGGTATTAAGATTTCAGTTAATTTTCATAGGAATATAAAATTCCATTACTTGAAGGCTGGATCTCTAAGTATTGTGGTGTTAATATCTACAGTAACAGCTCCTTTACCCTCTGGCTCCTTTCTCTTTTCTGTTTCAATCCTCAAAAATATATTTTTAACTGTCACCTTGTAACATTTCTCCATGCCTTCTGGCTTTCTACAAAAAGAAATGACTGTGCTGAATTCCTCTGGCTGACTCCAAAGAACTGTAGACAAATTGGAGGTTTATTAGACCCTTGCTGTGCATCTGTTTGGGCTTTTAGTGCTCATTCTAATTTACCTGATCTCTCCAGAATTGTAAAATCAAGTCCAGATAATTAGGAATTTAATGCAACTCCTTGGAGTACTTGAAGTAAAGAATGAGGATGCTGAAATTCGATGTGGGTGGAAATAAAGTTTCTCAGTTATTAAAATTACACAGTTATCCATAAAGATATTCTACAGAGACAGTACCTAAGCCAGAACTTGATTTTCTTAATAAATGTAACACCACTATAGTCTAAGAAGCTTACCTGAAATTTCAGCTCCTGAACTTCATCAGTTGTATGTTTATTGAATTGTGGTTGATCGTGTCTCTCTCTGTCTTGTTGCAAGAGAGCTCTTTGCTGTTGTTCTTTCTCTCTGACGTGGTCTGTATTGCCAAGTTCATTCTCTCCCATGCAAGTCCCTTTATGTTTATCATTTGACTTCGTTTTCTTTCTTGCTATCTTATATCTTTGGTTTTTTGCTACTGCAAAATCTTCTTCCTGGACAACAGAAAACAGATTTCTTGGAAGTCTAGTCTAAAAACAGCATGTAAAAAAAAAAAAGTGTCTTTGTAGCTGCTACTTTTCTGGCTGTAAGAGAGGTGCCTCCCTCACATAGCTTTCACAGTGGTATCATTTCCATGCTAGTACAGTACAATAAGTCCAAAGGGGTTTTGAGAAGCAATAATGCTTTGACCCAAAAAAGTGCTCCTTTAGAAGTCAGGAGGATTTTTGCTGACTACAGTGGGAGGACATTAGCTCCACAGAGAGCCCCTCTGGGAAGCCTGCTCTCTGGTTTGTTGCAAGTTACTTCTGATGCAGCCTGTGTTCCTGAGAAATCTGCCTCGACCATCTTGAGGAGTAACAACGGATCTTCTAGGTTTGTTTTTTTTAAAAAAAAAAAAAAAAAACACAACAAAAAACAAAACTAACAAACAAACCACAACCCAGGGGCTATTATCAGCATATTGTGTCCACTACTGTAATTCATGCTACCTGAGGCTACAATGAAACCACTTGGGTTTCTCCTTAGTTTTACCAAAAGGCAAAGCTGTCACTTCAGGACACAGCTGTGACATTTGCCGACACAGAGCATGTCTGCCTGGAGCTCTATTGGCCTAAAAATTCCTGGGAAATCAATTACAAAGGTGTGTAATTACCATTATTTAAATAATAAAGCAGGAACCATACAGTTAATAGGTTGGCAGGCACTTGCTTAAAATTAAGGAATATAATTGTGAGAATACAAGATACGTTCCAGTATGTTCTCCGTTCACTAAGACATGTCATTAACAGATTTATCTTCTCCTAAAGAAAATCATGCATATTTAGCACATTCAAAGATTTACTCTGCAGTTAGCTCACACTAGCAAGAACATGAAGGTACAGAGGAGCTAGTATTTTATTTTAATTATTAACTGTACCCTGATGCTCTTGTACAGGGCAGTGATTCTGTTCATCCTGCCATTCTCTTTTATCTTCCCCTTGTTCTTGTAAGCTTTTTCCTTCCTCTTTTTTGTCCTTTTTTTAGCATTCATGTTCTCATTCTTCCCCCCCCCGCTAAGTTTTTCTAAAGCAAAAGGGGGCCATGGCCAATTAAAACCAGGCCTAAAAAACAGTGTTGTCATAGCTGTGACACAGTTTGCTTACTCTGTCTCCTAGCTTCAGGGTTAAACTCTTTGCTTCCTGTGAGGAATAAAAGATGATACTGAGTAAAGACTGTTTACTACAAAATCTGCTTTTATCTTTCAGAGATAGAGATCATTACTATCAAGATAGACTGGCAGAGCCCAGCACCTCTCCAGATTGAATCTTTTCATGTGTTTTATTGCTGCTGACAATCATATCTGTCCATTTCAAGGGCCCCTCATGTGGGTTCTTACTTTCATAGGACTTCATTGGGTTGATGTCAGTGGGCATTTGGACAGGTTTCCAAATTGAACTCTGCATTATTGAATGCTCAAGCAGTTAGTGGTATAACTTTTTTCCATTTTACTAAGTATCTTCAGCCCTTCCTTAGGATTTTTGGATTTTTGTTTTGGTTTAATCAGTGAAGAAGTTTCCTGCCTATCACAAAACTGGTGGATGGCCCTAGCAAGCAGTTAGAGTAGCAGTGATGTATTATTTTTCTAGCCAACTTCCAGACCATTATTAAGAATATTTTTTCCATTCAAACAAACCACATGCTATCAATACAGATCACCTTACCTCCAACGAAGGATTGGATTTCTGTTCTCTTAAGATTTCTTTCCTTGTGAGATGCCTTTGGGGAGACTGCTTGATGGTTTTAAACATTGTGCTCCAATTAGTTGGGGCAACATGGGACATGTCCCCAGCAGAGATGGCTTTGTATTCCAGCTTGCCTTTTCTACCTGTGCTGCTGCAACTGCCAAGTCCTGGGAAACAGTAAAATTGTATCTAGGAATGAAACCAGAACTGGAGAAACATTTATTTCAGGACAGAGGAAAATGCACTTTAAGCTTGAAAGGAATTCTGCATGGACTAGCTACAAATGTTAATCAAGATGTTGGCATCATAAAAAATGTAGGAAAACAATGGGGAACAAACTCAGAGAGGGGTATCTATGCTTCCAAATGAAATTAATTGTTCGGGCAGTTCTCTGTTGCATGAGTTGCTAAAAGAAAAGCTAGCATGCAGAATGAGGCAGCAGAAATATTGAGGAGGGGGTACTTCTGTATCAGAGGCTGGTATGCAAATGTATAGTATTTATACCAATAAACTACAGACAAAGTGTCTGCCCAGAACATATTTGCTTTCTTTTTCCTCTGGCTGCTGCTTCCCTGTGGGGTGTTAAAAAGTACCTGAATTACTGGGTTGGGACTTGTGGTCGCTTCTTTTCCAGTATTTCCATCCAGGTCTTGCAGAATCCTTTAGCTGAGACATCTCAAGGCAGCTGGAGCTTGTGTTAACAGCACTGTCCACCACAGTACTCTTAGTGGGGAAAGGCTCCAGGTCCCACTCTAAATCAGAAGATGGGGAAGAGACTGCCACAGCTTCTGCTTCTTCTTGTTTTGGGCCTTGCAGTTCTAGAAGGCATGGAGAGGGCTCACTGCTGGACTCTGTCTCTTTGGTTTTGCTTTGAAAAACCAGAGACCTGGATGGAAGAGGCCACCAGGCATCAACATGGGAATGGCAGTAGCAGATGCACCTTACATATGCTGACAAACAGCATATACAACCACAGTGATAGTGCAAGTGTGGCCAGCATGGGGAACAGAGCAAGCAGTGCTTGGGAAGGCTATGTATAGTACAAGCAGGAATCAGGGCTGGTTTTGGACTACAGGAAGAAACACAAGAGTTAGCATCTGGAGTTCCTCTAGGCTTCACCCTGCTGGTGAAGGGCATGTGGATCATCTCTACAATCCTTTCCCACAGGCTAGGTGGGATCCACAGAGCCACACCCCGTGGGAGTTTCACTTTCTTGTCATTCCAGAACTGGACCATAATTTCTTCATCTTCTGAGGCTGTTAAAGAAAAGGTAAGCAGCCATAAGCAGCTGGCCTGCCTGGGCAGTGCACAGACACAGAACAGGCTTTGTAGCTTTATGCACTTTCTGCTCCTGCCAACTGGCAGGATGAACTATCATCCTTCTCTAGAACACCTCACCATAATGTCACAGAGGGTGGAGTGGGCAGCTAGGGCATCATCAGTGTGAAAAGAGACCTGGCAGCATATTTCCTCCCTATTTGTCAACAGCTGAAGAAGAAAATCTTACTGAGTAACTAACTTGTTATTGCCAAACTTAGCAGTAATGCTCTGGGAAGAGTATTTCATTAAGTCAGTGGAGCTTGACTGTCAGACATGGGAAAAACTAATGAACTGTTGAAATCCCCTACATTTGGGTGATAAAATCACCCCCAGATGTACCATTCAATACAAACATGAGCATTCAAGCACAGATGTGTGCTTCCTGAAAGCTGCCTCACTTGTTTAGCTCATGAAAAGGGCATTGTCCTTCACATGGCAGACACAGCCTTGTCCAAGATGTTGGAAAATAGCATATCCATGGACTTGGAAGACCACATTTTTATGGGTCACAGCTTCCTGAAGGTCATACAGGTGAGGTAACATGCAGATATTCATCAGCAAGTTCCATCAGCTCCTGCAAGCTTTACGTAATGCTGAACTGTAACCTGAATATGGCTGTTTCTCTGGCAGTAGCACCGTGACAGGAGTTTATCCTGGAATTCTCACTCAAGTTCCAGAGCAAGGCAAGAAAAAAGAGGGCAGCTTCTTACCTCGTAAGGGGTCCCTTGTCTCAATGCCCGTGAGGATGGTTCCTGGGCCATACCTAGCCATATCTGGCTCCCAGGGTGCCAGCACTTTGTCTCCAGGGAGCAAGGAGTGCTTCATCCCATTCACGTATTCCAGGATATCATCCTTTGCTGTTTTTTGCACACACAAAGTGTGACTTCCACGTGACACAAGCGGTTTGGCAAACTCTACCAGGAACATACCTCTTTCACTCTGTTACCAGGAACAAAATAATAGTTCCTATGAAAAACAGTCCATAATGTAACTTTCACCAGGAGGCCATTCTGTGGCTCTGTGGCTAGGTTGAAAAACCAAGCAAGCCTGAAGAGTAGTGTGTAGTGTTAGTCTGGCACTGAGACAGGCAGAAATACTTCTGTGAGGCTCACCAGACAGCAGGGTGAGTGAAGCCTATGTACAGATTCACTGCCACGGGGACCTGTATTTTCTTCCCCAAAAGCTACAGAGTGCAACTGGATTTCACAAACCACACTGTTTGCACCAGATACCAAGAGATCCTGAAGCCACTCAGACCTCTTTTTTCAGTCATGCCCTAGTCCTTCCTCATTACATACAACAATATCTCAGCTTCTTGAGGGGACTGTTGGGAATTTATTTATATTTTTTTTAAATTAAAGCCTGTCATGAAGTGTTCCATCAACAATGAAACAACGTGCTTCCCTGTTCTTGAGAGAGAATAGGCTCTTTTTTTCTGTTGAGTTTGAAGTGCTAACAAACTAGCAAATTAAAGCCTTCACTAACTTTTCTGAAAAGACACCAAACTGTTGGTCTATGGCTGACTCAAGCTAGAAATGTGTACATAAAACAATAACAGTTTTTCCATGCTATTGATGGTTATGTGTCTACACACAACAGTAGCTGGCTCACCGCTCACAGTGCCACTCACACTGAGCCTGGCTCAATGCCCAGCACCAGCAGAAGCCAGGAGTCTGCTCTTGCAAGGTGCACAACAACCCTCCTCTCTTTAGCAGGAACGGGGATTTTGGGGGCATCCATCTTCCGCATGAGATGAGGATCCCTGAAACATGCCTACTCACTCCTAGATATTGATGCAGTAAAGGAGGTTGAGCAGAGGAAGGATCTGATTGTTTATAGTTTACTGGTGCTCAAGGCTGTGCTGCCTGCCAGAGGCTCACACAGTGTGCCAGGCACCAAGAGGTGAGAGCAGCCTGGAATCAGGCACATCAGGAGCTTTGTGAATAGACATAGCCACAAGCATCCCTGTCCTGGTGATCTGCTCTCTAATTCATGCACCAGCTGAAATCAAACCTGCTACACTAACCTCTGGTGGCACGTGAGGACTGCTGGTTGGCCGGACACCTCATTGCACATGTGCACAGCTACCACACAGCAACCATCACTCACCTCTATCTCCTCTTTAATTGTGCCATGATAATAAAATCCATCTTGCTCCCTTCTCACCAGCACAGGGACATTGCTGCCTAAGCCCACTGATAGCCCTGAGATGTTCAGCCTCTTCCACGCTGGGCCAGGAGAGGGGAGGCAGCAGCTACTCCATTGGCACCTTGGCACAAAGAAAATGGGTCACTGTAAGAAACAGCCTCTGTAGGTCATGAAAAAAAAATTAAACTTGGAGGATTCAAGAACTGAACCACTCCACCTCATTTCATAGCATTCCCACAGCCCAAAGCATATGGGAAGAAACAGAAAACTTGCTTGTGTTCGGACAATTTCTTGCTCTTCAGTGAATGGTTTTATTCAGATTTGCTTGACTTTAGAAGAAGTGAGCAAGGAGTATGGTGGAATCTTGGGCCAGTTGTACCTGCTCTACCCTCTTTGCTGTTTACACAGCAAGCCACTGCAACCCTTAAGATCAGGAGAAAGGATCCATCTCCAACAGTGTAGGTGCACTCAAGAGTGCTGTAGCTGAGAGTTTACATTGGGACATTCAGGGCACAACAGAAAAGTAGAAAAGTAAACAACAAAGCTGCTGGTTGATGACAGATTCAAGTTCAAAACAGGAAAAATAATCCCCTGTCACAAAGCATTAGGAACATTTACAGAAGACAGCTGCTAATACAAGATGCTTTTATTTATCTAAATAAAATTAGAGGAATGTTTATTTGATAGGAGGTTTACTCAGGCTTTGCTTTTCATAATCTCCAGGGTAGCAAATCACTCATTAATATCATCTAAAAAACTGCCAGTTCAGGGGAGAGGAAAGCTCAAATGATGTTCAGGCTGGTGATTTATTAATCTGACACACCAGCCTGTTTTATCCTATTAAATATAATGAAAAAGAACAAATCACAGACTCAAACAAGAATATGATTTTACCTCTGGGGACTGAGGGGCTCAGTGATCCAGGCAGGATGCACTACGAAAGAGCTCGTGCAGCAGGGGCAGGGGGTAGCAGTGCTAGAGCATGAGAACTTGTCCAGAGCTGGCATAACACTGCAATACCTATGACCCCTGGGCAGGAGCCCTTCCAAATGAGCCATTCTTGCACAAGCAGATAGTTGCAAGACTCAGTCGTGATCTGTTGGTGGAAAAGAGACAGTGTATAGCATTTTTCAACACAAGCAAATGCTTACCAGTGTAGCTCAAGAACTCAGTAGCTTCTATTATTTGTTTATTTTTATTAAAAAGAATTAATTCAAAATATCCAGACTGGCATTTGGTCAGATAAACCCATATTACTGACTTCTGTGATCTTCAGTCACCCAAATCCCAACCTGGCTGAGGGACAGAAACATCCAATGAAACAAGAAATGCTGTGAAAATCCCTAGGAAAGCAATAGCTTCCACCTCCCTCCAACCCTTCTTTCCCTCTGCAACTTCCAGCTCTCGTTTCTTACACGTACACCCCCCTTTAAAGCTTTTTTGTACACAGCCACAGCCAAACCTTCCCTATTTTACAAGTTGATACAGAAACTGCAGCAGAAGTTGACAACCTGAATAAACATGACACTTTTTGAACATTATGCCAGATTACAGTTGCCTGTTACTTGTTTAATTTATAGTGATGTAAGAGGAAATATTTTGATCTTTCAGCTGCCCTATCATGTTTTATAACAGTAGGATTATGACTTGCCATAAGAAAAAGAGAGATGCTTGAATTTGTCACAACTATTCAGAGGCTGTCACAGTGAGATGCGATGTGATGCCATCTCTGTTAATCTGACAAGATGCAAAAGGTAAGCTTTCATTTCTTTTTTAAAAAATTTTTAATATTGCTTAGAAATGTTCAGGGTAAAATTTCCATGGAAATTCAACTGCATAAAATTTAAATGCCCAATTTCTCTTACAAAACACAGTTTAAGCACTAAGTTTAAATGTTATTTTGTCTCTTATCTAAGAGATATGACCTTCTTATGAGGATTCCCAGATGTAATTTCAGAAAACTAGCACACCAAACCCAGCAAAAAGAGTGGACTAACTGCTGCAAAGCACTGACAAAGGTAAATATGCAATACTTCAGTTTTGGGGTTTTAATGGGTAGTTCAACACAGCAATGTTTTAAACTTACCAGCTATTGACAGCACCATATCTGGTTGATTTGGATTTATTCACAAAGCAGAAATCTTGTCCCACTGCCTGTTTGACCTGAGAAGCGATTTGCTGCCAGTGTTTCCTAGTTGCTATGGAGGTTGCCACAGCCATTACTAGCAGGATTGGACACCCTGACCTCACTGGTTAAAAACCAGTGACTAGAGAGAGGACCACTTGTCTGCCACACATCTGCTCAACCTTCAGCTTTCCTTGTTGATCTGTATATTGCATTGAAAGCCTGCAGGGACAGAGAAGGGATTGTAAGAGGGCAGAATGTCCTCTAGACTGCCTGTTACTGCAGGGCAGAAAATAGCATTGTACAGAGTACAGATTTAGGGAAAAAAGCCCACAACCATAGGGTGTGACAAATGAGTTGGTTTGAAATGAGGGCAGAAAGGTTGAAGCTCAGACAAACTGAGGTCAAATCACTTTAGAAATAGCTTCCCTTTTCAACATAAAATGGAAGGAATAATGAATTCTACAGACTTTGCACTCTTCCCTGCAAAGAGTGTATCAAAACCATGCCAGAGTACAGTGCAGAAATCTACCTGTTCATCTCTGCTGTGATCCTTAATCTTCATTTTCTCCTTAACAAATGTTAACTCTTTTGGGAGGGGGGAGGAATACTTAATTGCATTTCATTTCATAGGCATTTTTCAATTCACTGCTATAAAAAAAAAAAGGTAACTGAGGGGATGATTGCAATTAGGGACAGGGACACAACACTTAGGAAGTCTGTAAGCATTTTCTGTACATTCTGCTGCACCCACAGACTGCTGTCATGCTGCCAGCAGAATTGTTCTTTAATATCAATAACACAATTCCCTTACATGGAGCAAATAAGAATATTTTGCCAGTTATGAGCTAAACTCTCATCACCATCTTCACATAAATCTAAGCTTTTAGCTGAAGTCAATAGTACAGAAGAACAGGTGGGGACGACCACCCCAGACCTTAATCATTATCACTGAAAGGCCCAAAAAATTTGTGTTGCAGGATTATTCCTCCTCCCCCCCCCCGCCAAGGCCAAGATGTTGTCAACCTTCCTTATACTCTGTGTTGTGTGAGAGCAGACCTAGTCAATTTTTAAATAAAAATAGGCTATGTCAACAGTTTTAATGGGATTAAATACTCATTAATAACAAAAGGATGGAACAGCAGTCGCAAGACATTATGCTCTTCCTGTGTTCAGCAACTGTGCTTCAGAGAGCTGCTCATCTCTTTTATTTTCCCCCTTTAAAACTAAGTTATCCTTTCTGTTGGCATCTAACAACATTCCTGGGAACATTCAATAAGACCTTTTGAGAGATACACTGGCAATTAGACCAAAAAACTTTTAAGCAGGTGCATGTGAGAGTAAACCAGAAACATTACAGAAAATGAGAGGAATCTCAGTTGCATCAGTGAAAAGATTTTATTTTAAAGCAGGCAGGCTGTGACAATACATGCAGTTACTTCACATGTATAGGTATTATTTTTTTTGTTTGGTGACCATTTTAGAAATATTTTCCAATTTCCATGAAATAACTGTCTTGGAACATTCAGATATGGTTTCCCAATTGTCTCTCTGTATCTAAGTGTAGTTACTATCTGCAAAAATAAAATTCTGTGGGCTGACACTAAAACACACGCTATGATCAGCTCCTAAGATGTGCCAGGAGTATCATCAATATAGTGGCTACTAAGTTCCCAAACAGGATACCTTCTGCTTCATTTGGAATGGTTTAGATCGCTTTCATAAACTGATTTTGTTTGTTAATTGCTTTAGGTGCTTGGCTTGTCTCCATGACATTTTCTTCTGCCACCACAGAATCACTGTACAGCACAGACTGTAGGTAGCTGATGTATTTTATTGCAGCACGAAGTGTCTCTACTTTGCTGAGCCGTTTCTCCAAGTATTCCTTAGGTAGGTGATGCCTCAGTTTAGCATAACCTTCATTGACACATTTAACCCTGTGCCTTTCCCTCTCATTCCTCTTCCTGATGAAAGCTGGCCCGTAGGAGTACTCACTTCTGCGGTAACTGGAATGGGGCATCTGGTAGGGAAAGGTGCAGGGCTCACTGTAGAAGTTCTCCACTATCAGATGCTCAGACATAAAAGGAAGGAATGACAGATCTTCAGAGCAAGAGAACTGGTTTGGTGTTTCTGGGTACACATGGAATGCAACTTTTGGGTTGGCACATGAAGGCCTAGCCAGCTGTACGTGCTGAGTCTCAGTACAGATGGACAACTTGTCCATGAGGTTACGGTAGTTTCTGACATCCATCAGGTTCTGCATTTATCCTGGAAATGCATAATTAAAAAAATGTTTTAGCAACTCATATGAACTGTAGAAAAACTGCACCCAGACTTACCAATGCTTGGCATTACTGGCATTTTCCAGGAGAGACTTCTAATGTGATTTTTCAGAATGGTGTTGGAAGATCATTACGTAGAGCAATGTCCCATTAGAAGATGCAAGAAGGTGCAAGTCAGCAACTGGTTAAAAACATTCACAACAGATCTTAAGAAAATAAAGCCACTAAAGCTTCCTAAAGGAAACAGCAGTCACCTTTCACTTCAGCTTTAGAAATTAAGATCTACCTTTATATACCCACATGGGTATAGCTTGTTTTGAATCCTCCAAAACTTACACCTCTATACAATAAACAGAGCAGGCCAACATCTGAGCCATTCTCTCCACTCTCTTCTCCTGCCTGAAAAAAATTTAACCTACAATTCCATAACAGACTCCTTATGTGTACCAAAAAGCCTTCATAGACAAGTTACTTTTTCTCTCTATTCATTTGATGTCTCTTTCACCACATTATCTTAATTAGATAGAAAACCTGTGCAGAGAATGGATCTTAACCTACATTTTACATCTGTGAAGCTTCAAATCCATTCCACATACAAATTTTTACAAGAAGTTTGTAGGATTCATTTCTGCAAAGCCTGACATCTCTTTGGGTCCTCATGCTGCTTCTGCACTCACCTACATGTTAAACACATACACAAAATAGTTAATACAGTCCCACTGCCATGAATTATGAAATTATTAATGTATCAATGTAAAAAAATGCACATCCTGATAAAATTGTTCCAACTGTAAGTTATTTTACTAAGAAGGGACTGCACATAGTGGTAGCAGCACTGCTAGAAGCCTATTAACTCAGACTGGCCAACTAGCACCATATGCCCTCTCTTCAGAGCAGCACTACAGCAGGCTCAACTAATCAAATCACCCTTATATATTTATTAGAAAGACAACCTTGCAGTGTTTTATAAGTAGCCTACAAGAAAGCTGAGGAGGGACTTTTACAACAGCATGTAACCAGAGGACAAGAGGTAATGGATCTAAACTGGAAGAGGGGAGATTTAGGTTACACATTATGAGGAAATTCTTTAGTGTGAGGGTGGTGAGACACTGGAACAGGTTGCCCTGGGAAGCTGTGGAAGCCCCATCCCTGGAAGTGCTCAAGGCCAGATCATATGGGGCTTGGAGCAAACTGGTCTAGTGGGAGGTGTCCCTGCCCACACAGGGGTGCTTGAACTAGATGGTCTTTAATATCCCTTCCAACCCAAACCGTAAGTTACATTATAGTGCCTTCCCAAAATCATTATTGAAATAGCTAAATAGCAGCATAACTGTAATGATTGTTACCTAATAGCTCCTTGAAAATAAATTCTAAACAAATATTTCATTTTTAAAGAATTACCGTGAACCATCCTCACTGACTGCAAGGAACACTTGCGTACACAGAATCTATCAAAAATGCTCTTACTCACCATCCACTTCTACATCTGTACATTGCTGTCTAACTCACTTAGGTTATATTATACCCTCTAGAAAGGAAAACACACCTGAATATTACATTAAGCTACTAGAAACATCTAAATTCCATACTCACAAAAACCTATGAAAGCTTCAAACATCTGGACCTCTGTTTCATAAAAGAAATGAGATCCTCTTAATACTTCACAAAACTATGGGTGTATTTTAATGTTTTCTAATTATTTCATCCCTGCCATGCTTAATACAACATTTTTACCCTGTATGGAGCTATCCTCACAACACATTCTACCAAAATGCCTCTGTATTCAGTGTTGTCTCTTTTTCTAATGCAAATAGGTCTCAGAACAAAAAACCTCTTAGTTAAGAATTTATAGCATGCTGTTAGATAAGAGAGAAAGTCACACATTTTAAACAGGTAATTCTGTAGGTTGGCTGAAAGCATGAGCACATCAATTTTACATTAATATATATGTAGAAAATCAGAGGTGAATATATACACTCAACATAAAATTAGTATATAGCCATCTTTCCCTTGTCTAGTTATACAGCTTGGATTATTGTCTAAAAACTTTCTACTGCTAATGTCTTAAAAACATTGAGGAACAGTCTGTTACATCACAAAAAAAACTTTATAGCACAACCACTACAGAGCAAGAAACCAAAACCAACACAACCCCTCGAGAAAAGACACTTGCAGTGTTTGTTGCTTAGTACTGACACTTTTGCTGCATAGGAGCATCACATAAACCAGTTACCTGGTTCCTTACTACCTGCACAAAGTGCAAACTGCAAGCGTCCAGATTGTTTTCCTTTTAGAGACTCACCAATCTCCAGATGGAAGTCCAAGGAAACAAGATGTGCTATTTTAAGACTGATGAAATACCTGAATGAGACCAAAAAAAAGTTAACATTCCACTTTCCTCACACCTTATTAAATAAGAGATATTAAAAAAGCCACGGAAGGATTGTTACTGAATAGCTGGAGGAAGTGATTAACAAAAACATTGACATCCAGTGAAGCTCAGCTGCTAGATACACCAACACCCAAGTCTCTTACCTGAATTATGTAGCTTGTCCTGCTGAGTCAATGACTGCTGCAATTTATAGTCAACTGGCAACATGCAAAGTTGCTTACAGTTAGGTCCGCTCATTTCTGGTTTGGCTTTTCCACCCACACCACAGCTATGATGGCAACAAAACTTGGCATTAAGGGTTAGAAATTTTCAAACTGTATTGAACACAACAAGATTACCTGAAAAAAGTAATCAAGCAGGTACTTTAATTCCTGTATGTATTCTGTTACAGCTTACTAAAGCAGTATCCTCATTTATTGGCATTTCATCCTTTAATGTCTAAATATAACAATCAGCTAGAATTTAGTTAGTTACCATCACAGCATAAGCAAGATAATTCTCATAGCTTCCATTTTAAACACAGAAAATCAGCAATTATTTAGAATAAATTTGCAAAGGATTTGTCTCCAGACTACAGGTGAGGACACATACTACTTAGCTTAACACTCTCAAATTTAATATTCATTACATCTGTAATTCAGGGAAATTCCTATAGTGTTAAGAAGTATTACACCATATAAAAGGTTTCTAATAAAACATTTACGGAGGTAGACAAGGCAAAATTTTGAAAAAGTCATCAGTAGCAAGACAATTTAAAGTTTTGCTTAAACTTAGAAACACTATATGAAGCAGTCTGCATAATCATATATATATATTTAGATTAGATATAGCAGTACATAGCTGTCCAATTGCACAGGTGCAAGGAAATAGGACATCTAACTTCAAACCTCCTACATTTTACAGGATTACCTTGACAGTTTAGACTATCTCACTATTTGGCCCTTCTATTGATCAAAGTAAAACCGCAAAAAAAATCAAAAACCAAACCAGTTTAGCTTAAAACTTTCAGAAGACATACAAGATAATAAACAATTTATTGACTACCGTGAGAGCTACATACATCCAGTCTTGTCTTCTTTGTACTGTCAGTCATCAGAGAAAGCACTCTGCTTCTGCTGCCCTTGGGTGCAGCCACCACGATGCTGTACCATGCATCCTCCTTCCCATGCCAGCTTCAGGCTTCACCAGAAAGGCAGCCAAAAGGTACATCTTCTAGAACTGGTAAATTGGCATGTCTTCAACAAACAAGTTAAGTTACTTTTCATTAGGGGACCCTAGGCACATCACTTTCATAACCAGTTGACTTATCAGGATGGGATGTCAAACTGGTAACAAAAACCAAGTCTAGATTTTTTACTTATACCCTGCATCTGCAAAAGAGCTGCAGTTAGGGCAAATGCTATTCTTGGGCAACTATGACCCCAGAACTATGTGTGCAGGTACAGTTTATATACCACGCTCCTCTGTTTCCTAAGCTGTGGGGCAAGCAAGAACTGCACCTGACAACACATAGTGCTGCTCCTTGCAACATTTCCTTCCATGCTGAAACTGAACTACAAGACAATATTATAACTACACATGGATAGCTAAATTGGAGCTATGGATTAAAAAGCTTTTTTTAATTAGCAATTTGGTGAGCCTTTCTTTCCTACAAGCATTGAACAAGTGCATATTTCTACTCTGAAGCACTTTCAGAGATGTGCTTCTATACATGGAATGCAAATGCAGAGTAAAGGCAGAGAAAAATGATGACATACAGATAATGCAGATCTGTTTCTCAAAAATCAGTTTTATCTTTAATTGTTACATTCCAAAGGGGATATATGAAAGTCAGTTATCTAGCAACTGTGTACCTCTTAAGAGAGATAAGTACAGAATCACAGATAAAAAAATACACCCAACTCCCAAGACAACAGGTGCTAGAGAAAGTATGTGCCTTACACAATCAATCCAGACAAATGCAGAAAGATTTTTTTAATAAATATTTCATCATATACTAACTCCTGAGACTTTACCCATGAAAAGAAAGGGAGAAAATCTTTTAAAGAGATATCATACACATACAATATATTAAGCTATTAAATCAAAATAGAACAAAATGCCAACACTGTCTTGATATGCACTGCATTTGAGTTTATCTACATCACAGTACTTTCAATATGCAGCTTAAAGAGTCAGTGTCCACTTAAGCTTTGCCTTAGATCTGCAAACATCACTTGACATACAAGCATCTTGAAAGTATGAGTGCAAGAAACTAAATGATGAATAAAGCTAATCAGGATTTCATTCTCTGATGTGAACACTACACTGCAAGATTGAGATTTCCAGTACCTAGCATTAGTGAGCAGAAAATCCAAGCATATTTACAAAAGGTCTTTACATAAAGTGATTAGTGAGTTACAAGTAATTACTGTGTTACCAGGTATTTTTAACCACATAAATAGGAGAGAAATATATAGTTAAAAACCACCATCAAGTCACAACTGTAAATAAGGTACCACAGCGGCAACCCAAGGTATTTTAGGGTTTTATTTCTTTTCAGTTTTGTTAGTAAAAGCCATTTGAAAGTGTAAAGATTTTAGCATTTGGTTAACTCATCTTTTTAAACTGCTTCCACTCCAACACATTCCTTCAAAGTTCAAATATGTTTGTTGGGTTTTTTTGTTTTAAATCAATAATAAGCCATTCAAGAAAACCCTTCCAAATTGTCAGGAAGACCTAGTTCTCAAACAGTCCACTTTATTTCCCAGGAGTTATTTAATGAGACTCAGTTAACTCAGCACAACATGACGGTCGAAGACAGATTTGCGTTGCTCCTGGACCTGCAGCTTCCAGCGCTGCTGAGCATACTCCACCTTGTTCAACACGTTGGCGCGGCTTCGAGAACGAGCCAACACATCATGAGCATTTGCAAAAGGCTGGTGGTCCTGGAATGGCAAAAATTATTCCTTAGATCTCAACGATTCCACTGAGCAATTAGACTTTTTTGTTGTTACACTCCAAAGGATGTGGGTGTGAGGGGGTTGGTTTTGGTTTTTTTAAGGTAAACAGGCTGTTCCAACAAGCTGGTAAGAAACAACCACCAAGCAAGTTCTTGACTCATTAGGGACTGTACCTTAATATCTCATTCAAAGTAATTTCCACAGGTTTCCCAAGCAGACCAAATTTAATTGTACTGTCAAGACAATTACCTGCTACTCAGACATCATAGGCAGCTGCAAGACTGGAAACACCATCTTGCACCATTAGCAGGTGATGGGACAGAAGCCTAGAACAGATGTAGGTGCTAGGAGCCTTCTGTTACTACTGTGACTGCACTTCACTTTAAAACTGAATTGAAGAGTCAATTGTCTGCCAGCTCGTGGCCACTTATCAATAGGCAGTTCAGGATGTTCTCACACAGCTTCTATATAAAACCAACACACTGATGTTTACCAAACTAAACCTATTGTACTGAGCTGTCTAAAAGCAAAAGTGTCAATACAGCTGCTTAGATGACAGAGCTTAACAATAACTGAGCGCTTGTTTAATATTTACTGTTTTCTAACAGTACCTGCAAAGCTTTATTTTTTTATCATAACTATAACCAAGTTGTAAACTGTAAGAGTTGAACCTGAACTACTTATTTGTTATCAAACTGCTTTGGACAAATGCATGTTGCTAACGCTATGTCAGACAGCCTCATATAAAGAATGCAAAATGAAAAATAACAGAATTATGTCCTGTGTTAAATAACTGCCTTTTTTGTATGTCTGCACTTCATACTCTTTTTTTTTTTTCCCCCAGAACACTTTTGAAGACATTTACACTAATGGATACTTTGTGACATGACCGCATAAGAGCAGCTCAATTATGATTTTTAGTAGCACAGAAATTATTATTAATTATACAAGTCTCAAAGCCAAACAGGAGCCTCACTTGGCTAAGAGAACAAGAGACAATCCCTGACCCAAAAAGCTATAATCTCACCACAAAAAAAAAATGAGGCAGCTGGATATACCTAGAACAGGAAGTTAACAGAAGACAAATGACTTAATTCACAGGAGAACCAAATCACAATAGCAACACGTTTCTACAATACAATAAATGGTTGAAGGGGAGCACAGGACAAGCTAGGTGGTAATGCCTTTCCTGATAAATAGCAATCTCATCTCAAAGGCCAGCTACTGTCAATTTCTATGTAGACAAGAGGGGAAAAAAAGAATTTAAGAGGAAAGAGGTCTATGGAAGCAGCTGATATTCACCAGTGGCAGCTGAAGAAAGAGCAAATATACTGCCTGAAATTCAGCAACAAAATGGATGCACATGGTATTTCCAAAGTGCAACAAGGATCAATATCTCAAGGACTTGCAAGAGGGACAGCAAGGATGGGGATAATACAAGAGGGACCTTTAATTATTTCACATTCATTGTCACAGAAGGAAGATAAAGCAGAAAGGAGCACCATGAACTAAGCAAGGATCTGAAGTGCTTTTTGTTTGAAGTGCTACTGCGATATAAGCACTAGTGACTCCACAAGCACAGGTAACAGTAACTTGTCACACCAAAAACAACCTCGAGAAATTGAGTGCAGTTCACATTAAAATCTGCAGGTACAGAGCATAACAACTTATAGCTTTTAACACTTCTGATGCCTCCAGATCAATGAAGCCACTGAAATGACAGGCAGCCACAGGCAGCCAGAATCACAGGGCTTTTAAACAGGTTTTAGGAAGTATTACGGTCATAATTTTATTTCACCAAGAATAAACTTACTTATCTCCTCTTATTAGCTTCCTGTTTATTTGAATGACTGTAGAAAATATTCTTATAAATTCTACTGTAAGACACTAGTAAATGTTGTAAATCTTTTTAACTACCTCCCCTCTACTTCCACAGTAATGAAGTACTCATGTCTGCTGAAAGGCTTAGGTTAAGCAGACAGCAATCTTCCCAATTCATACTCTGGGCTGGTTTCAGAAATTCTTACTAAGGTTACACCCCATCTGAAGAACACTTCACCAGTAAAAGCAGCACTGCTTAAGGGCTCAATATAGAAAGCACACTGATGCTGAGATTTCAGAATTGTTTTATCAGTTTGTGTGGTTCAATGCTGACACTTTACCAACAATCCAGCTGCCATTTCAGAAAGCTTTCCCCGCAGTACTTTACAGCAACACCTCTCCCAGGCATGCCAATTCCCCAGGCTCAGAGGCACACAGATCCACCAGATCCAGAGCCATAGTTTGTATTTGTACACTATTCTAAGTCCCCCTTTCCATACACAGATGACCTACTCCCATCGACCACTGCTCCTTATCCACACAGATCAGGTACTGAACTGTCTCACCCTTATCACTACAAGATTTCATAAGATCTTACATTCCCTTCTTGGAATGGCACCAGAGACAATTTTGTTCCATTCCATTAGAAGTCAGAAACACTGTGTTGGACACTAGGAAGACCCGTAATGACAGGAAACTGAATAACTAATGGACAACTCCACTTTTCCTTCCAAAGAAGGCTGTTCTGATATGTTGGATCTGCTTTCTAGCTGTAGTACTAAAAAATTATTTGAGCATCAATCCCCATTTTGCTTCACTATAGTAATTTCTTCTTTAATTTTAACATCAACAAATCAAGCTGGAACAACAGAAAATGCAACTCCTCTACCTTCTTTTTGTAGAGAGAATCTGCATAAATGTGATAACTAGCAAGACTGTATGGATCAAACACTAGAGAAGTTGCACTTCCTATATATGTTTAACTCCATTCCTACTCTGTTTCTTCTCTGAGAAAACAATCTGTGTCTAGAGCTGGGATTACTGAAGCAGACCTCATCTTACTACTTTCTAGCCCAGTGAAAAATGGAACAGTGGCTTCACAGAAGTCATCTCACAGCTTTCTTTTCCTCTTGCTTCAGGAAAAGCATTTACACCACCTGGCAAAAAAAAAAGCTGCTCATCCCCAATAGTTCTTTAACAACTAATTATCCCAATCTTTATGTTACCTAAGTACAGAAACACTCTGGTGAACTCACCCCAATGTCTTCATCACTTTGTATGAGCTGTGAATGCCCAAATAGACGTCTCTTCAGTATAGGTTCCACCAGTGTAAGGTACACCATGTACAGGAGCAGTAGGCCCAAAATAGACAGGTATATGATGATTGTAACCTACACAATGCAAGCACAGTTTATGCCAAAATGGTGACATTACCCCCCACAATCTACCAGCAGGCAGCAAGGAACAAAAGAAGAGTACATGCAAAATCTGTGATGAACCTGTCAGTGTTTGGTAGTGACACCAGATGACTTAACACCCACAGAAACAAAAACACCAAAATACAACCTGGTATTAAAAGGGCTTCGGAAAGCCAGCTTGAAACAGTTTCTCTTTGTGAGGCCTTGCTAAAAATCTTATGCAATCCTGCTTAAAACAACTTGGTGTTATAAATCTCACCTTAACCAAGACAACTGTTCAGTTTGGCCATTAAACTGGGGTGACAAATTTGAGGGGTGCCATTCTCTAGCACAGATCTACATTTAAGCAGTCACCAAGAAAAAATGGGAAGGGAAAAAGAAATACCAAGATTCTAAAAGACCAAAAAAAGGAGTCTGTGTTACAAAATAAGAAATTATGCACTGCACAATCTATTCACACCTGTCTAGGGCTCAATGGCTCTAACAGGATAAGAACATGAAGAATAAAAAAAAACAAAAATCTGTTAGAGCAAACATAGACAATTTTGCTCTTTTTAGCTTGCCAAGATATAAAGAAAATTTGTAATAAGCAAGTAAGACAGCTGAATAAAAAGAGGCCCCCTAAAATAACAACAAATGCAGAGTCCAAAGCTTGGGAAAAAAAAAGTTGAATCTTAGGCTACTTTAGAAAAATCTTCCCTTGAAAAAGAATGTTTCTCTAAAAGGCAGACATATTTCTTAATCAGTTGAAACATTTAATATATGCCAACAGAACTATATTGTTTACCTTAATTGTGACAGAGCTTCTCTCTTCGTATTTGCACTCACAACGTAAACAGTACGCTTCTACATCAGGTCCAGGGACAGGCATAGGCTCAACCACATGAAGACAGTCACTGAAGACAGAGAGAAACTGCTCAGTCAGTTTTCAGACGGTTTTAGCTTACCTGTTCCATTACACATGCAGACTCCAGCTGCATGGCCTGAGAAACTACCTTTAAGTTCAGCCGTTCCTAATTATAGATATCCAATATTTTAAAAATAAATAACTCACTACTCCACAATTATTTTACTTAAACAAGAAATTCAGCTATTCACAAGCTGCTGAACATGACTTTTCTTTGTAACTCAATAAGATGTTAATTTTTCATTGAAAATATTAAAGCTGTTAGTGTAACAAGTTCAAGGATGTGAATCCCTGCATGAATGCATCATTTGACCCTGACCTCATGGATGAAAGTAAACTCCAGCTATACAGTTCTTTCTTCATCATACTCAAAAGAGCCTTATTCTATCCTTCCACTGTCTGAAGGGAGATTAACCTCACTGGTGTTCATGAACAGAAGGTCTTGTTTTCTCACCATCACAAGTTACAGGCATTGAAAGGAAAAAAAAAAAGTCAGATGGGTTGTTTCTCCAAGCTACAAGACAGTGAATGAGAAGCATTCAGTTTTCAGCACCAGACCCAGATGCAAAAGCGTAAGTTGACTTAAAAGATTACAAAATATAAGTAAGTCCCATGCCAAAGAATGTGGCTGACAATCTTATCATAGAATCATAGAATAGTTAAGGTTGGAAGAGACCTTAAAGATCATAAGGTTCCAACCCCCCTGCTATGAACAGGGACACCTCCCGCTAGACCAGGCTGCACAAAGCCTCATCCAACCTGGCCTTAAACACCTCCAGGGAGGGGGCTTCCACAACCCCCCTGGGCAACCTATCCTAGTGGCTTACTACCCTCATGATGAAGAATTTCTTCCTGATGTCTAACTCAAATCCACCCTTTTTCAGCTTAAAACCTTACCTTTTGTACTATCACTACCTTCTCTGGTATAAAGCCCCTCCCCAGCTTTCCTGTAGCCCCTTCAGGTACTGGAAGGTGCTATAAGGTCTCCCTGGAGCCTTCTCTTCTCCAGACTGAACAGCCCCAACTCCCTCAGCCTGTCTTCATAGCAGAGGTGCTCCAGCCCTTAATCACACTCTATAATACCACAGCACTAAAATTCAGTTGTCATGAGACAACTGCTTCCACCAATAACTTATGTAGTTTTGGTCTTTTTGCTGAGTTCAGTTGTTCAGCGTGCACATCCCAGGACCTCTGCAGAGCACGGACAGAACAAAAATCATGTTTTCCTTTATCCTGGTTAGCTCAATGTTAGCACAGTCAGAGCAGGTAACCAAACAAAATTCCTGAAGTGACAGCAGCAGCCTAAGACTAAACACTCTACTGGGATAGATTACAATGCTGCAAACATGGCCAGACACCAACTCATCTCTGTTCTCTTCGTGCTTCTTCTTCATAACTGAAACTATGGACTGTCAAGTCACATCCTCTGGAGGAGGGTGGAAGGCTTATTTTTCTCATTTATTTGAAATTAGAATTACATTCTCCTCTGTGGAGGAGTGCAGCATTCGAGCTACAAAATGAAAAATACATACAACTTCCAACCTACACAATTTCTGTTCACAGGATTGACAGCTTGTACCATTATGCAGCACAAGTATAGCAGAAAGCTTCTATGCTGCTTAAGAACAACAGTAAGTCTGTTAGTGTGAATATCACCCTTTTTTTCCTCTCTAGTTGTTTCAAGTTGCTAGGAAGTTTAAAATCTACCAGAACCATAGAATTTTGATTATGTGTTTCCCTAACTGCAAATCCCTGGCAATTTTAGCAAAAAATGTAGAAGAGGCAGATGCTTTTCTAAAAGATTTTCCCACTCAACTGCCTCTACATTACAGCTGCTTCTTTGTTCCCACAGTAATAGCACCAGGGAAGCAGTTCTTCCAAGGCAAGCTAGGCTAGTCAGTAGAGCAGCTTCTGCACAGACAGATTTCCATATCATTCAGCTTGTAGCCAGAGTGTCCTCTCTCCCTTCACGTCCACGGCAGTCAGCCTCTCGGGGAATGGTGTTATTGGTATTAAAGTGTCCCAGTCCATATTGATGTTGTGGTATAATGTACTGGTTGCCAGTCTGAAGCCAAAGAACAGACCACTTCAAGTGAAAGAACATCAGCATCTAAATAGGAGTCTCATGATGCACATTACAGGTTCAACATTAAAATTTAACTTTTCATTTTACATCCAAACAAGTCAGCAGTAAGTGGTCATTATACTGTACATAATTCATAAAGACTCTAAAAATTGATCTGGCTCATGTCTCATGAGATTTAAATTGCTAAAGGATGGTGAACATCAGCCAGTTCTATTCAATAACAAGTCACTTGCGCTGATGCATTAGTCAAAGCACAGCATAAATTTGTCGATGTTAATTGCACATAAACTAGCAATCAAGCCTTTCAGAAGTGGTAAGAAGACATCTCAAAACAGAAGATCAAAGCCATAAAATGTTCCCAGATGGTCACCTAGAAATAATCTCAACAATACAAGATTTAAGATAGGAAAACAAATTTTTTCTGTGTGCATCAGTATCTGTCACCATAAAATCAGCCAAACCTCCAAAGACAAGTTTTCCTTCTATCAGTACCAATATTGATTTAAAGGGAAAAAGGGTCTTTTCTGCTAGTTAGGCACACACCAAGCAGCACCCACTGAAAAAAAACCCCACAAACCAAAACAATTTAGTTTGCAAAGCAGTAGTGAACAACAAAACCAGTTAACACTGCTACTCTCACGTCTGCTGCAGCTGAAATTCTCCCAGTATGTTTCATCACTGCAATTAAATTTGTCATAGTAGGACTGAGGTTAAGTTAATCATGTGGAACAAAAATAGTAATTTCAGTTGGGCAGTACATTTTATGTTGATTAGTTTAGATTGAAATTTACAGTGTTGTTTCTCACAGTTCTCCTGTAAGTAATTGAATAAGTCAAGGCACAGCTCTAGGCATATCTGTATCACTAATTTTATTCCTATGACTTTTGTGGGCCTACTCAGGGGCATGAAATTTTCATAATCAAGATGCCAATCTGCTGCTACTGGTCAGCCTGAAAAGTCTTTTATAAACTCTTAACGTAACTGAAGAAAAGTCAATACATCAAGAAGTACATAATGTTTTTGTAAGCTGATCCAAAAAGGCTCTGAGCACTTCCAGTATTGATGCAACTCAAAAACATGGTGTTTTACGTGTGTGATTCACACAGACAACGGTATTAAGGTGAAATTACACAAGGGAGTTATGCCAATGTAACAAATCACTGCCATCTTTTCTTCCCCAGTTCCTCATCCCTGGCCAGGCACATCAGTCCTCAGCTTGGAGAGGAGTCTGACAAATGCCATAGCTGGTCAAAACAATACAATAGAGCAAGTTGCTGGGCCACAGACGTAAAACCTCTCTCCCTCTGAAAAATAATGGCTCAGGCTGTGTCATACAACTGCACTCTCTGGTTGCAACTCTGAGGAGCAGAAATCTCCAGAAACAATTGTCTCTAAATGACAGGATGAGTTTCAAGAGTGGAGAAAGAGGTGACAATACTCCCAAGTTCCAAGGCTCTCCCTTGCCTTTAGGCCATTTCAAATCACTGAATTCAAATTACCCTCTCTCCTCTTCTGCTACTTCCAAGTCTAAATAAGTAACAAAAGCAAGCAAACCAAAACAGAAAACTGGGCAAAAAGTATGGATTTCAAGTCTTGCCCCTTGCTCGAGCGTTGAATTCTGGAGAACTTTTAGAAGAAAAGTTCCAGTAAGTCAAGCAAGAGATGGAATTTCTCCTGGCACCACCAGAGGATATTCACATATAATCACTATGGAACAAGTCTTCAACGAGTAAAACTCATTCTAATTTTTTATGCCACACACACTCACCAGTCTTTCTGTGAAACATTTTTGTTGAAAATATTGCCCGAATGGTCTTTGTAAGGAGGGCAGATGCATTTACATCGAACATCCTCAGAATTCTGTAAAGTAAAGAAGATGCTTAGATCAGATCATCAGGAGTAACCATAACAGGATACAGAAAGCACTCTGCACATAATGCATCAAAGACTTAACACAAACTACTTGCAAATATCTTAGAACAGTCTTACTCAGGGTTTCCTTCAAGTTTGAGAACTACCCTTGAAATTACTAAGCAAGCAAAGCAGTCTGTCAAGCTGTTATTTTAGATAGTAAACAAGTTCTTAATGAGAAAAATCTGGAGCATAAGTTCACTCTTCTTTTTTAAGAACACATCTTCAGAAGTTACTGATGTTGACAGACTCAACTATTCAAGCTATAAGGAGAGCTGTATAACAGACACAGTGACAAGCTTAAAACAAATAGAAGAATAGTAACCCCAGAAGGAGGCTTCAAAGAAATCTCTGTGGATAATTCTGTCCTCCCAGGCCATAAGAGAAACAAATCTGTAAGGAAAACTGCGAGAGGGACTAGTACAACCTACAGTCCTCTTCTCTTAAACAGCAGCAGAATGTATAAGGCAGAGAGAAAAGTACAAAACAGGAATTCCAAATGAAGGAAAGGTGAAAAATTATGGAAACTTACAAAAGCAAGTTTTAGAAAAACAAGTTAACATTTGCATAAGCAACAACAGAGGCTACAGAAAAGAAGTGAGGAGAATTAACAGTTATGGACAGTAAGAAAGAAATAGCACCTAACATTAAAATTTATCTCCCTACTGGGAAAAATGGAATTTCGGAAAAAGATAACATTGTTGAGTATATTAAAACAAGGTAATTCCTTTGTTTCTGAAATTGCACCAGAACAAAAATTCTTATGGAAACAACGATTATCAACAAGTGGTTATAGATGAAAGCATTTTCAAACCCAAATCAGAGAAACTTATCAATAACAAGAGACAGGGGACAACCACAGCTTATCTGAAGTTCAGGGCACTTTCTAGCAGCGTTACAACACGAATGTCTTCAGAAGCACCAGCAATAAGCTGCTACACTGAACAGTCACGGCAGTTGGGAAACCTTCCCTGCACTGCTCACCAAGTCATGTCTGGTCCGACCACAGAGAAGTCAAAAGCTGACAACCATTATAAAGGAAAAATCTCAGACAGGGGGGCACTCGGATACCAGGAACGACTTGTACCATCAAGACACACGATGTTTCAGCCTCTAATCTTAGCCAGACTAAGATGAGGGTCCCAAATACCAACCCGGGGGGACCGACAGCAGCGCGGCTGCCAACACCCGCCT